TGTCATCGGAACTTTCATCATTTTTCTTTAAAAGTATTAAAGAAGAAATTACAATTATTAGAAATTGTTTATTGACGTCTTGTATAGCGTCCATCTTGAACTCGCATAGCTCGCACAGGAAACCGGTCCGAATTCATAAGCGCTTCATGCGTGTTATGCGCGCATTGAAAAAACGGAACAATTTCAAAGTGTTGTGCATCAGTATTGCAGTCCACGCGCTTCATGCGCGACTCGGAACGCACCCTCTGACATCAGTTTCAGTTGGAAGCCTGCAAAGTTACTAGGCCGATTAGTTAATCGAAGCTTGGTGACAGTGGCCCTCAGGGGATCAATCACGTACTTTTTCCCCTAGGGCGGAAACGTAAAAAGTGAAAATTTTTTGTATGTATGTGTGTATATGTTCATACATACATTCATAAAAGTTTTCACTTTTTACGTTTTCGCCCTAGAGAATAAGTTACGTGATTGACCCCCAGGGCGACTATTACCAACGCCGATTAACTTAATCGACGATTAGTCCATTGGAATTGACCAATCGCATTTATCATTTAGTTTTGACGACAGATTGGTCAATTCCAATGGACTAATCGTCGATTAAGGCTGCTTTCCTTTTAGGAGACACAGTCGATACACTTGACACAAATCGACACACGTCGCTTTCCATTTACAATTTTGTTCAAACTCAATCGACACACTTCGCCTCTGCTCGGGAGGAGAGTCAGAGTGTGTTTCGAGTCTGTTCAAGTGTGATTTTGATGAATTAAGTGATATTAGAACGCACTTGCAAACCTCCTTAATTTTTAAAACTAATTTTTAATTGTGTACATCTAATTTTCTCGTAAACTCTCGGCAGTGTTCCTTACAAGAGTTTACTATGTTTCATCAAAAGACAAAAAGATATCTATCCTAATGATAAACAAATTAATTATTTAAATATTTATGAAATCTACTCATGAATCGCACAGTGGAACTCACAATCAGACATTTCGGGAGAAATACTTTCTCTCTCGTTTGTTATATCTCTAATAAATTTCTTTTAAAAAAGAATTGTTTTATAAGATGGACATTTATTCTCAAATGAGTATTTTGCGCATTCTGCGAACACATATTTGTATTTACACATCTTAATTTAATTGTAGAATCAATGTATGTTTGTTCATAAATATATTATATAATATGAATAAAATATTATATAACATAAATTATATTTGTTGTATAACATGAAATGCGATCCTACGAAGTACATACCTACCCTAGATTAAACAATAAATTTTCAACACGTAATGCTGGTCTCTCGCCATTAAACACAAAATGTGATAGTCTCGGCAAATATGTTATGTAAAGTTTACTAGAATTTAATATGTTGAAAATAATTTTATTTGAAAAACAGTAAAGCCTCTCTGAGTCGATAACCAAATGTCCAAGCAAATGCAATGAGAAAAATAAAAGGATAAGTGTGTTTGGAATATTCTTGTGAATATTTTATACGAGAAGAAAGAAAGCGAATATCAAAGTGATTGAAGACTTTTTAAAAACCTGTTCTTTTTACCTGACCTTTTTGCATTTAATTTCTTTTCTTTTTTCTGACATAGAGAAAAAAGGTGGAGGATATTAAATGTTTATTAAATTATATAACAAAATCTCAAAAAAGTTGTAATCTGCAATTATATAGGAGTATATTTACAAAAACAAATGCAGGAACTACTTATTATTTTTTCTAAAATATTGATAACTATGTGCCCTAATTTTTTATCTAAATTAAATCTATCCAATAAAGTGCGATACGGTTCAGTGTTAGCTAGAAACCATAATGTGATGAATAAACTCCATTCTGCAGATATCTTTGGTCGACCAAAGAAATGCGATGGCAGAATTCCACTTTCTGTAAGTTTATCTGTAAATTCAAATAAAAAATGATAAAGAAAGTTTATAAAGCGAATAAATTGATAAGAATAATATTAAGAAATAATTATCTATTTGATATTCAAGATTAAAATTGCGCATATATTTTATAAATATTAAAGGCGAGAAAGTGTTATTCTATAAACAACATCTCTTATAAACTATGACAGGTGTGAAATAAATGCAAAAGGAAGGTAATCGTGTAATTTACTAATTTTATCTTTATCTTTACCTTATTTAGATATATCAGTCATTATATTTCTCATCATTCTGTACTAATTGTAACTGTGTAATTATCCTATTGACATTTACACATTCATGAAATATATCATAACGTTTGTTAAAATAAGATAATGTAGTAATCTATAAAAAATAATTTCCATATATGTACCAATTAATGTTATGGCAACATTACGATGCAATCTTAAATGTTCTTTGAATTCTGCATCCGTCCAACTATGTACAACTTCGATGTAGTTTTGTACGCGATGCCTTCTACAACCAGTTAGCAGTATTTGTAGGATTGGAAACAGAATATCATGATTTTGTTCATCATCAGATGAAAATTCATATTTACTACTAATACTGCTACTACTGCTGCTGCTACTACTACTACTACTGCTATTTTCCATCAAAATATTCGTTACTGCATTCATCTTAAAGAAATAATAAAAATTAATATATTAATATTCATATATAAAAATGTATCAATTGGTGGAGATATTTATATATGCGTACCTTTACTCGAAAATCATCATATCACCTCAATCACTCTTTAATAATCGAATCTTATGTGTGTCCGTTAAGATCAAAATTTATTTATGGTTAGGTACTAAAAGTTCGTACACACGGTACACACACTGCACATATCGCGTTCCATTTAAGTGTGGCAAACAGTGTTCGAGTGTGTTATACTGTGTCGATTTGTGTCTCCTAAAAGGAAAGCAGCCTAAGTTAATCGGCGTTGGTAACAGTCGCCCTCACTCAAGGAAAGGTAAGAGCTTCCTTGAGGACTCCTTTTAGGTAGAATTTATAACTTTTATATATGTGTGTATATATATGCCTATATATCTTCAGTGAGTGTCGTTTTAAATCTGAGAAGAAGAGGTATACGATTTGTAGATTCGTCCTAACCTCTTTCCGTAACCATAACACCAGCGTGATGTGCCGGAGCCAAAGGTGTAAAAGTTCAAATAAACCAACGTTTACGTTTACATCTAAGCTTACGGTCTTCTATTGGAGACGCGTCTTAACAGAGTATAAGCATAACATAAAACTGCTAGACCATTGAGCATCCAGCATAAAGTTACCATTTACATAAGATGCTCATTGGTCCACCGGTCCACCGATCTATAATTTCGTAAACGTAGTTGTAGTAATTGACCAATTGAATACGAGGAGAATATTCAACTGTGATTGGAGGATTCTTACAACGACTATCACTTACAACTACGTTTACGCATTTGTAGATCAGGCTTAAAGCCTATTCTATAATGACCGTAAGCCATAGAAATTGACCAATCGTAATCGAATATGAGGAGAATAATCGATTACGACAGGTCAATTTTTGTGGCTTACAGTCATTGTAGAATATGCTTACGAAATCTCTTCCCGTCGTCTACAATATGTAATGGCGAATTCGATTGGATTGCACCAGTGCAGTGTGATTGCACCAGTTCATCTTTTTTCCTTTTCCCTTCTCCTGGAAAGAAAAGGAAGAAAGATGAACTCAGGTGCACTCAGTGCGCACTAGTGCATCCAATCGAATTCGCCATAAGTAAATTTTATAAATATAAAAAATCATATTTCTTATTAATGATATAATTTATCAAAAATATGTATATTTTACTATATATAAAGAAAGAATTAGCAGTCACAAGATATTTTATTAAATTTTGTCGAGATTTAATAAAAAAAACTTTCACCTGTGTGTTACATAAATTAAATTTCATTTTCTGAAGATTTTATAGCTTCAGTAGCATTATCATTTCTTAAAAATTGTTTTATCAGAATAAGTAGTATTTTCAGAAGTTTGTAAATTGAACAAACTTTCTGCTTGAGCATGATTTTATTAGGAACTTTAATGAATCATACAGAACCTATTTAGGTTTATATATTTCTTCAGGCTTTTTCCACTACATCTGTTCTTTGATTCACGTTCTCCAAAGATTTGTCAGAAAAGTTTGCCTCATACTATTAAAGCGAATGTTACATGTCAGCTAAAAAATATAAAAATATATGTTAATAACCAAACGTAAAATTATATATACTTCATTTTATTAGAATATTTCATAAAAAATTATACAAGCAAACAGTTAATTTCTACTTTGTATATTTTCAATATAATATGTCTCATGCTTACAGTGATACCAGTTATGGTATATCCACACAACTTGCATAGCTGCATAAATGTATGCATAAAGAGAATTATCTAATCGCACATTTCTTATAAAAACGAATGTAAAATGTAATTGGATAATTTTCTTTATGCATATGTTTATGCAAGTTTGTGTGGATATACCCTTAACGATAGATTCCTGACAGCATTTTCAGACAAAAATCCTAATACTAAAATATTGAGGCTACAATCATTTTTAAATGAGAAAAGTTTCATTAAACAATCCAGAGTTTGCATGCTCAGGTATGGCACATCACAAAAACCACATCTTCACATTATTGTTTATCGTTCAAGGAATCTAAATTTCTCTAATTATTAATATTAATAAAGATATATATATATAT